ACAGTGGCTGCAGCAATGGACTCAAACATCACAATGATTGGGAGGATGGCTCAGGCTAGACTGTTTCGTTATACTGTACATAAGGTCACGGTGAGTCGGAGCCGGTTCCACTACACTTAACAAGTCGGTTTTGCCTAAAATCTACCCTTGGGCATGGCTTGAGCTATTACCTTAGTGAAGAACAAGCTGCCCCTGGACATGTGAAAGAAGCAGGTCAAAAGTGGAATGGATTACAAGAAGTTTTTTTGGGTTTTTTTTTTAAGCATAGATCCAAAAATGGGTTTGAGACTCACACTAAATCCTAGCTCCAACCTAAGAACAATTAGTTCTTACAGCATAGCCTTGCTCCATCCTTGCCCTCAGGAAGGAAAGAGAGAAGATATGGGTACTGTACCAAAACGTACCAAAATGTGGCCAAGAAATTAAATAGTGCCCAGCCATCAGATAAAAATGGTGTCTGGGGTCTTAAAGACTTGTCTCCAAACAAGCAGCCATCTAAGTAAGATGTCAACTAAATCCACATGGAAGAAGCACACCATCCTCAGTCACTGAAGGATTGTAACCCATATAATCTGAAATGGAAGGAGGGATCAGTATCGGAGCCTAAATGAGAATCTGGTGTGCAGAAGGCAAAGGGTGACAGTGGGAGCCCAAGATTCATTTGTTGAACTGCATAGGAAATAAGTCTCCAGAGAGCTCCCCCTATCTAAAATTGAGGGATGGGAGGCAAGTGGTCACTAGAGTGCTTGAGAAAGGGGAGTATAGAAGATCAAAGGCATAAATCTGACTTGAACAGTTAAAATTTTGTCACTAGATTCCTCCCCCCACACCCCACACCACCACCACCCCCCGCCTCCTATAATGCAGGCTGGACCCGATTTGGTTTCCAATTTTTTTTTTTTTTTTTTGGTTTGTATTGTTTGGTTTGGTTTTTGTTTGTTCATATTAGAATGTATCTCAGAGGTGTTATGACATTGGAGGTCCCCCTCTTGAAGATATGTTATATGCTTTTCCAGTTTTTGTATGTGAAACCCAGGATTAATGAACCTATAGGGACAGCAAGTAGAATATAAGTGTTCGGGGCGGTGGGGCTGGGGTGGGGGGGGATACAGACGGTGGAGGGGGCGTGCAGTAAAAAGGAGACAATGTCAAGGAGTCCAGGTAGAAAAAGAATGTTTGGAAACTAGTTGTGATAACAATTGTATAATTCTACTTGACAGGATTGAACTATGGAATGATATATGTATTAAACTCCAAATAATAATAAACAAATTTTAAGGGGAAATTTTTTTAAAGTGAGGGAGAGGGGCCCTAGAATATATTTGGTCTGTATAGTAGTAGTAATTATTCTGCTTTATGCTTCCTCTTTGGAAAACTTCATTAGGAGTTTGCCCCTAGTGTCTAATGTGCTATGAGACGCCTGCCTCATCCTTGAGACATAGTAAACCAAAGGATGGCAGCATTTCCTCCTGTATCAGTTGTTGTGCAGTATTAATTACCTTGGACTCGTGGCCTGAGAACATACCTAAACTCTGGTAAAGCAAAACCCTGATGACAGCTTAGAAATAGCTAGGGAGTCCTTTGAGTTTCTGAAGAAAAAACAAATGGGACTGAAGATAAAACTTCATGGTATCCCCACATAGGTTTTTAAGACCATTTATTTGTCATCCCATCAATATCACCAACAGCCCTAGCTTAGCATATGTGACAGTACTTTATTTTGCTTAAAAAAACAAATTCCTAAGCTTCACCTCAAAACAACAGCACAAATCTCTGTATTTAAAACCCAGTCCCCAGGGCACTCTTATGCAACCCAGCTCGCACCTCCTGCTACTTGATGCCTCTGGCCCCAGTGGATTTCGAAACCACTGATGATAACAAGAGCTCCTGAGTCTCCAACCAGAGAGGCAGTCATGTCAAAGGAGCAAAGATGGCCAGGGAAACAGAAATAAACGTAGACTAGAAGAGAAGAGGATGCTTGGAAGATACCGCTCCAAAGAGCAAGTAAGACCTAAAAAAAGACTGACCAGCATTTGCAAGAGAAGCTCTCTGGAGAATCACCTACCCAGAAGTATGGAGGCACCTGTGAAGAGTGATAAACCTGTCCTAGACCTTTATCCGTGAGACATTAAGGACAAGCCCTAGGGTCCAACCGGCTTTCCAAAGGCTTTCAAAAGTGTTTGAAAACTGGCAAAAAGTATTGGCTCAAAAAATAATAATAAATATCAGTGCTCAATTAAATGCTTAGAAAAATAGGATCATGTCACTCTCATTAATTGTCTAATTTAGATCATAAATAGTTTATTACATTTAAAAACAATTTGTTGTTAAGCGCTCTTGTTTTGCAAAAATTCCCACATATGAATGATTGCGAAGAAGCAGCAGCTTAATTAAATGGAATGGAATTAAATTAAAATCAAATGAATTACAGTGAAATCATTTCTAAATCAAAAGTATAAAAATCCTTTCACTTATTGTACAGCAGAAAATACATATGAGTATCTATCGGATAGATGTGCATGTTAATATGTCGAGTATAATGCAGATTAGGGTCCATGAAGGCTTGAAATGAACCCTGAAGTAATCAGTTACTGTTATACACATCTTATTGCCTCTACTTCAAGGTGAGTTGCCTGAGGTCAGAAGATGCAATTTTTTCCTCCCTGCACCTCAAATATACCAAATATTATCTTAAAAGCTAGTGGGTACACAATAAATATTTGTTGAATTGGATCAAAATGAATTCACTTGTCTCTGTTCTATTTCAGCCCTCCTCAAACCTAGCTATGTGACCTTGACTGTGCTTCATTCTCTAGCAAAGGCACAACTCTCAGGTGTGAAATGATGAAATAAAAGCAAAGGGGAGCCTGCATCACTCTGCACAACACTAAGCACCTTTCTCGTGAGGTGAGGTCCACAATTCAGGGCAGGGCTGCCATCATTATACTAAGAGCTTCTAATCAACTCCGATTTTAGTGGAGGAATTTCTTAGCGCTGGTCATCTGGATTACATTTTCCCCTGAAATGAACCATTTATAGCTTGCAGGCCTAGAATAGAATTTTTCCTTCTATCTCAGCATTATATGAGTAGAACCTTTCATTATAACAAGGGAGTCTGTCTTCTATCTATTCCAAATCAAATAGCTTTCGGTTAGTTAAAAAAAAAAAGTTGGGTTTTGTATCTGCGTCTAATTTTGAACTCAATGAGAAGCACATTATTGAGTTTCTTTCTATAATGCCCTAGATCTTTGCTGATTTTTATACTAACATATTTGAACTGGCATGCATTGGCTAAAATATTTCAGCTCAAGATTATTGCTTATGTGTCTTATAATTAAAATAACATCCGTAGCTTGCTTTCCCTGAGCACCTTCTATAGTCCAGGCACTTAGTGGCTCCTTCAAAAACAGAAAGATTGTTAGAGGCTGCTTGCTGTAGGCATCAGACTAAAGTAGCTAGTGTGGCTTCCGGGACTCCCTGTAGCTCTATATGAGACTCCTACACTACCAGAAAGATTAGGAATGAGTTCAGAAACAGTGGGTGAAACTGGTGGTCTCAGAACTTCCCTAAATCAGAGCAGCTACTCGGTTACTAGCAAGGCTTCATTTGATGGGAAAGTAGAGTTCAGATTAAGACATACCACAGTTCAAATGTGACTCAGCTACATGCTAGTTGTCAGGAAACTCAACTTGTCTCCTAATCTAACAGGACAAACTATTGAAAGTATAATGGAAGGAACATTGAATAAGTAAATAAAAGTTAGCATGGGTGAGAAAAAGATACGTTTGATTTGAGAAATACTTGTAGCCCTTGGCCCCAGCCTCTTCTTCTGTACATTTGGGACAGAGAGCACCTGCTTCCTCAGTTGCCAGGAGGATTAAACAGGATCACATCCCTGGCACACCGTAGAAACGCAGTCACTGGCAGTTATTCTAACTCAGTGTTTCTTAACCTTCCTAACGTTGCGACCCTTTCATACAGTTCCTCATGTTGTGGTGACTCCCCAACCATAACATTATTTTCGTTGCTCCTTCATAACTGTAATTTTGCTACTGTTATGAATTGGACGACCCCTATGAAAGGGTCATTCGACCCCCCAAAGGGGTTGTGACCCACAGGTTGAGAACTGCTGCTCTAACTGGTGTTAGATCCTGTACCGACACTAGGGCCTGTGGGACACTTCTCTAAGAAACAAGGAAGGATGGAGACCCACAGCAGTTCCTCCACTCTCCTTCTTTGTGCTACCCAAACACCTGAAAGCGCAATCACAGTAACCCTTACATTCCACTTTGCCTGGGACTGAGGGTCTTTTCCCCCCAGGATGGGAACTTTCAGTGTGAAACAGGAACCACCCCAGGCAAATCGTGTGGTCCGTCCTGGAAGTCCTCAGAAACAGAGGGAGTTTCAACTGGTGAGAGACTAGAAGCCAATTCCAGTCATCCTCTTTTAATCTAATCCTTCGCCAAGTCACCATGTGGGCAAAGGATGAGATACACATCCACTCCCTTTTTGAACTCACTCTGCTAGCAGCTAAACATGCTTTCTCCACTGTTCCTCCCCAGATGCCTATACTTCAGCCTGGGTGGTTCGCACCTCTGCTCCAGCATCTATTCTTTAATCAAACTCGTAGCACTAAGTTCCTTCTGCTTTCCACTCAGGCCTCCTCGATGACTTCAGACTCTGAACTGAAGCCAAAACTCTTGAGTTCTGGTTTCAAAGGGTAGAAATTACTGGCAGCCATAAGAAATAAAGTTGGGTTTGGTCAGGGGTCAGTATCTTAAATTGAGAACAAAGAGACAGCCTTGTTCAACCATTCTCTTTTCACCAGCCAAGCAATGCCTGAGGCTTATCCCCACCCACCCCCCTCCCCGCGCCAAGTGCACATGGAAAAGGATAACAACTCTTTTCTTCCCAAGTCCAGTTGGGGTTGATCGGATATTCAAACTAAAGAACAAAAGTTGGGGGGTGGGGGGGGTGGCAGGCTTTCACCTATTCCCTACCTGAGGTCGGAAATAAAATGTGGCTCATCCTCAGATGACATCATGAATGAAAGCAACAGAGGTGTCTGAGTGTTGAGTAAGCAGCTATCCTCAGGAAATTTAGAGAAATAACTTCTAAACCAATTCATGGTGAGACGTTTTCGTGTCACGCTGGGCTATTCGTTTGGTCCAGTCCAAAGTGAAATATCTCATAAAGAATGTTCCCTCCAAAAAAAAAAAAGAATGTTGCCTCCATATTCTGGAATCTGAGGTCATAGCAGTGTAACTGGCAGGTATTCAGTTCTTGAAACACTGGGACACACCTAACTGTGGGCATGTTCATCTTTCTAATCTGAAGGGAAATGCTGATAAAGATACAGTGTGAGTTTTAAAGCAACAATAACTTATCTTTGCTGTAAAAATCCCTTGGTGTTGAAAGATACTTGTAGTAAACATTTATTCAGCTGTCTCTTACCTTTCCTTGAAAGATTCAAAGGGCTCTGTAGAGTTCTGCCACACCGTGTGGCTGTGGTGTAACTGGCGCCACTCCTCATCCCCCAACTGCTAGTCCAATTCCCCAAGGTGGTATGAGTCTTATAACTAACCTGAAAACAGGAGCAAAAAGATCTTTCCGCTCAGGTGTTACACCTGAGCCCAGCTAATGGAAGATCATCTCAAGTTTAAACGATGCTAAGGTGCCCCAAGGACAGCAAAAAAGAGGAAGGCCCTCAGCAAGGACTGACACAGTGGCTGCAACAATGGGCTTAGGGTGGAACTATTGTGAGGATGGCCCAGGACCACTTGGTGTTTCGTTCTCTTGTGCATAAGGGTTGCTATGGGTCAGAACCAACTCAATGGTACCTAACAACAACAAGGAGGCCCTGCACATCACACACTAGTGATGAATTCAGCTGCTAACTGAAAAGCTGGAAGCTCAAGTTTACCCAGAGGCAACTAAGAAGAAAGGGCTGGTGATCTGCTTCCAAAATCTAGCTACTGAAAACCCTCTGGGGCACAGTTCTACTCTACGACTCACAGGGTCAACACGAATTAGAATCAACTCAATGGCTCTGGTTATATTTTACATTGTCCCCCATCCCTAAGGCCATTTAGAACTTCTAGAAATTCTCTATTCTTCCAAGGACTCCATTGATCATGCAGCAAGTCTGGCTTTTCTCTCTTATCTGGCTCAGATAGAATCTGGAGAAAAGCAGGGCTCAGGAGATGATTACTTCCTTACTGCACTGAACCCTCGGAGTCTTTAGAAATTCGGAAGTATACCTCTAGGGCACGTCTTGGGGAAGCATAGGCCCCAGCCAGAAGAACATCCATAGTGGATGAAAAAAATTAGATAAAATTGCACATTCTAGAGAGGAACCTGCAATCATAATTCAATGGAACATTAGAAAGACAACAGGAGAAAATTTCCAATTATACTATACATTCTTCTCATCAGACCTATAGAGAATGATTGTTCCAAACTTCAAAGAACTTACTTGAGGATGGTTATTAGCAAAAGCCTGTAATACCTTCCAAATCAGGATTCCTCAAACATAGCTTCATAATTGCCTTCAATCACTGGATTCTGGGCCACACACTGGCTCCTAAGTTGTCAGGCAGCACCCTACATTCGCATCAGCCATCTCTCTTCCACTCACCACTCCATTCCAGCACTTACCATAGTCACGTCTGGCACATAAAAGACACTCAATAATTTGTTGACTAAATGTGCTGTACATAAAATATAGGTTGAAAAGAGTAACAGAAATTAAGAGGAAATTAAATACAGTGCAAATATATATATATATATATATATATATCATACATATATAGTAAAATTTCTCTAGAACATGAACAAGCACTATAAATGGAAAGATGATTTCATATGTTCAAATTTCATTTATATGTAACAATCTACTTAAAAACATTTATGAAGGGACTAATTCACATACCGTATATACTCGAGTATTAGCTGACCCGAATATCAGCTGAGGTACCTATGAATGAATAATTTTTACCACAAAACAGCATTAAAAATGTGCTGAAAAACTTGGCTTATAAATGAGTATATACAGTAACACTTTTTCCTAGAAGCAAAAGAAGTGAAAAAGAGCAAAGGGGCAAGGCAAGGGTGAGGGGAGAAAGAATGTTCTCTTTTTCTACCAAATAATAAGAACTATTTATAAAAATTTAAATTATGGTGCCAGAGAAGAATAGTGAAGGTACCATGGGTTGCAGAAGAACAAACAAAATCTGTCTTGGAAGAAGTACAGCCAGAATGCTCCTTAGAGACAAAGATGGTGAGACTTCATCTCGGGTACTTTGGACATGTTGTCTGGAGAGAGCATCATGCTTGGTAAAGTGGAAGAAGAGGAAAGCCCTGCAAGAGGGACTGACACAGTGGCTGCAACGATGGACACAAACATGAGAACAATTGGGAGGACGGCACAGGCCTTGGTAGTGTTTCATTTTGCTTTATGTCAAAACTGACTTGATGGCTCCTAACAACACTTATAATAAAGAAATGATGATGTCGGACACTACTGATGTAGGGATTGTAACAAGAGTTGTAAGAGCACCCAATAAAATGATCTAATTTTTTAAAAAAACGATGGAGTTTTAAAATCATGATTTTGCATAGCCTCCATCATAATTTATTCAGAAAAAGATCTTCATTGGTACTAAAACTATTAGGTGAAAAAAGATGGCTGGGAACACGATATTCCCAAAGTGCCAAAATATTGCTCCACAGATATTTTTCTAATTGCAAAAGAAGCAAAAAGTAACTACTCTGAAGAATCCCAAATGTGCTAAGGAATATATATGTGTAAACAATAGAAAGATCTGAAAGTGTTAAAATTTATATATATGCTCATACATAAGGGAAAAAAAGAAATCATCAGAACTGGATGAATAAAAAACATAATAAATAGAAGAAATTGAAGTTGATAAAAATTTCATTTTATTTGGATCCCCTACCAACAACCATGGAAGCAACAGGGAAGAACTTAAATACATATTAAACAAATCTGCAAAAGATTTCTTTAAAGATGAGCCAGACCCAAGCCATGGTATTTTCCAGCACCTCATGTGGTAGTTACATAATCTCGTCAACTTGATAAATAAGTGTAGGGGTGGAGGCTAGCCTGTCAATCAGGTCACAGCTTGAGGATGCCTCCTTATGGGCATGACCTTCCCATGAGGATGCTGAGAACTTCCTTTCTCTCTCGCACTCTCTGCCTTCACCTTCCAGTTGACAAGCCACATGGAGACTTGCTGAGACCTGTGAGAGCCTCTCTCTCTGCTTCACTTTCCTGTTGAAGAGCCACACTCAGAGAGCTGGAGGAGCCACGTGGAGACCCACGCCAGTGCTGAGATGCTTCCACTGCCACTGGATCCACAAGATTTCTCACCCATTGGCCTGTGATCTTCCTGCATTTTGCATCATTGCATGTGACTGCGTGGGTCTGAAGAGGATTTGTGGACTCATATCACACTTATGGGTTAATATAGGACTTATAGACTTGATCTGGACTGGGCTGGGATGTTTTCTCCTTATACAATTGCTCTTTGATATAAAGCTCTTTCCTATACATACATGAATGTCCCTGGATTTGTTCCTATAGACAGCCCAGTTAACACACCTCATATGCATGTGAGAGCTAGACAATGAATAAGGAAGACCGAAGAGGAATCAGTATCTTTGAATTATGATACTGGCGAAGATTACTGAAGATTCTACAGACTGCCAGAATAATGAACAAATTTGTCTTGGAAGTACTGCCAGAAAGAAATGTGGACATGTTTCCAAGGGAGACATGGAGAACAGCATCATGCTTGGGTCAAAGTAGAGGGTCAGAGAGACAGAGGAAGACCCTTGATGAAATGGATTCACATAGTGGCTGCAGCAATCAGTTCATGCACAGCAATGATCGTGAGGACACTGCTGGACTGGGCAATGTCTCATTCTGTTGTACATAGGATGACTACGAGCTGGAACTGACTCAATGGTACCTAATGACATTATCTGTACAATGAAACATTCTAGAAGGGATTTTTTAATGTATCTTTCCAAAGGAAAGCTCTAAAAGTGATCAAGCATTTGAAAATTATCTAATTTAGTATCAGTAATAGAACAAATCTTTTTCTCATCTAACAAGAAGACATAACTTTATTAATGATAGCAACAGCACAAATTTCAGACTGAACTGCAGTTACTCATTTGAAACACCAAAAAAAGTCTTTGTTTTAAGATGGACATTGTTAATTCAACAATAGCATGTACAATATCATTATTATTGCTCTTCAGGGCTCACACTGCCGATGACCTTGATTCATTTATTCTATCTCCTTAATTTCCTCACCTGTTTCATCAGCCTCCTCCTCTTCATTCTCCTCTTGTACAGATGGAGCTTGTGTGTTTTCCTGAATGTTCGACAGCTTCACCTTGAACTTTGAATTTCTCAGCAGCTGCCAGTTGTGCTTCCTGAGATAAATCCCCAATCTTGGCTTCCCCCAAAACTATAGAGGTGTCTGAAGTGGGACTCTTGTAGACATCTGGCTTTGGGTTGACAAAGAGGAGTCTTAGACTTCCAGAGGGTGACTCCAGTAACCCCTGTGACTTGCCAAAGACCCAGTTTGGACATAGCCTTGGTGCCTTCTTTCCTCTCTGACTCTGCTTTGCTTTCCTGACTGGTTCATCCATTTCAGCTGCCGCCACCAGCTGAGCTTGCTGTGTGTTTTGTTGCCTACGTGGAATCCTGCTCCTCGAGCTCGGGTACTGATTCATCACTGTCAGATCCTGTCGCAGATCCTGCCTCAGCCTGGGGCTGAGCCAGCTCCTCCTCTGTAGCAGGGATGGTTTCTGTGGCTTCACTGGGCATTTTGTATACAACACTAGGGACCAAGATTGTGATAGGAAGACAGCAAGCAAGAAGAGCATGACCCCAAACTCTCTATGTACCTCTTGATCTGATGCAACATGAAGAAATGCTTGACCTAATACTTACCACGCCTCTAGCAGACCCTGCCCAATATTAATATATAGTGACATGTTCACAGTGGTTGAGATGAAATCGTCACCTCCCAATCTAAGGGGTATTCCGGCTATTCTTATCTCCAAGACAGATGCTTGCTCATCTAGCAGTCC